CTATGAGACGGCGGATGTGAGCAGTGAGTTTTCGCTGCGGCAAATGGAGATAATGCAGTCCGAGTTCCCGAAGATTAACTATGATCCAAGCTATGTGATCACCAATAAGAATGTTTACACCATACAGCTGAGGTGGGTTATAAATTCGTTATATGCCTTTACTGTTTACTGAGTTGCGACTACGTCTTGCAGAAAGGAGCCCTTTGAATTGTTTCTAGATGCCGCCCTGCAGAACGAGTTTAACCAGTGCCGCGACTTCTGCAACACCTTCGACCTCTCCTTCGAACAGTGCATCGAGTTTGCCGGGGATTACCTGCTGAGGCGGAAGAAAATTACCCAGGCGCTGCTCACGTACAACAAGGCGCGTGTGAAACCGATACGCACAGCTCTAAAACTGGCCATGTATGGACACACATACGCTCTGATGCAGCTTAGTGCTATGGCCCTAAAGTCCACATATCTGCTGCGATCGCGTTACTTGGGACATCCGCTGCTCAAGGGCATTTTGAGCGATATTACCTACCGGCACTCTGAGGATGTGCGTGTGATCCTGCCCGAGAAACAGGAGCAGGAGGATGTAATCAGCGGCGCCGTTTGCAGTGATTATCATTATGGCGTGGACGAGTCAATAAGCGCCCTTCAAATGTCGCCTTCATCGCAGTTCCATTTGGCCAACCTGCTGCTCATCACGATGGCCGAGAAGGCAGTGAACGATAAAAACTACATACCGCTGTGGTGAGTTGAGATTAATAAGGTTTTTATCTTTGTTAAATGTTTTAATCCTTATTACATAAATTTTCAGGAACTTTTTGGTGACGAATAGCAAATATCACACCAACATGACGAGCATTGTTCTCTGCCAAAGTGGACTCTTCTCGTCGGCCATTATATTGGCCAAGATACGGGGCGTCTGTCTGGATACTTTTAATGCCCTGATCAGCGTTGTGGCCCAGGAGTTTGGCTGGTACAACGAGCTCAACGTTTGCCTGTACAACCTGAGCGAGAATATATTTATGGAGACAATAACTTACTTGCCGCATGTGTCCATGGATTACTTTGCTTTCATTCAGGAGAAGCTGGATCATATCAGACCTTGTGTGTTGCAGGTAAATATAGGGTGTTTTATAGATGTACCTTAATTTGCTTATCAATAAATGTCATTTTTCAGCGCCTGGCGAAGCAACTGAATCCTTTTTCTGCCGCTCTACGACCCATTGTATCCCACAATAGTGATTGCGCAATATCGAACGATAATAATCCGCAATTGTTTGAGTTTTGCAAGAGTCTAATTGAAACATATTTGGCAGTGCTCATACACATGGAATCCCAGCGAGTGAAGCGTGACTCTATTGTAAATGCTTTATCGAATTTCCGTATCAACTATGAAGACAATCAGGTAAGTCTTATAGATAACTCTCATTACTAGTTCTAGATTTAATGTTTTAAGTTTCAGTTTGCCATTGAATCATCACGCTTCAAACCGATCTCAGCTGGTTGTGCCTACTGCGCATGTGTGGTGGATGGAACCGCCTACTTCTGGGGCTCCAGCGGCATTCCCAGTTACTATAGTGCTCAAAAGTCAACAGGTGGGTTTTGTTCTTATAATAAGTTGTATGTAATATGACACGAATATATATTTTAGAGCCTCCAGAGCCTGCGCATGCTGTGAAAAGTTTGGACCTCCTCTCGCAGCTCAATTTGCAAGTGCACGCCATTAAGTGTGGACGACAGCACACACTTATTCTAACTAATAATGGCGTAGGTTTTCTCACTAGGATTATCATTTAGCAATAAACTAATTGCCTGTGATATTTCCAGCTCTATTCCGTGGGAAATAACAATCTCTGTCAGCTGGGTATTGGTCGGCACATGCAGATGGCTTTGCAACCAATGTTGGTGACAGCATTAGATGGCATGAATATTACAATGCTTGAGGCGGGTCAATATCACAATGCGGCTGTCGCGGATGGCAAGCTCTATATGTGGGGGTAAGTTTGGAACCACTTTAATGCCTTGCTTAGTGAGCTTATAATTAATAAACCAATTCCAGATGGGGCGTCTATGGCCAGCTGGGGCAGGGCAGCTGCGAGAATATAGCTACTCCACAACTAGTCAGTTTTTTCAAGTTTAAGGTGAGTCCGCCAAACCAATTAGTAAATAAATTTAACTAAATGGTTTATAATGTTGTAGAAAATTGTACAAATATCCCTGGGCCATGCCCACACTTTGGTGCTGTGCAGAGGAACCCCCAACAGAAGCTACATGGAGGCTAACTATTTCGGCAACGAGCTCTACGTGTTCGGCTCCAACCACTTTGGCCAGCTGGGCACCGGCAATAGCGACCACGGAGGCGACACCAAGACGAACCTGCCAGTGCGCCTGGATGTGGGCGGCTGCAGCCTAAGACTGATACACACCAAATTTTTTACCAATGTAAGTTTAGTGGAATATAAATGGACTTTTAGTTACATTCATTATCCCCTCACAGTTAGCTGTAGACGAAGACGATCGTCTGTTCACTTGGGGCAGCTCACCGCAGGCTTTGCGTCTAGCCAATCAAATCAAGCGTCGCGCCAACGCCAAGCAGAAGTTGGAGGAGAACCAGCAGCGAGAGCTGTTGAGCAAGCAGCTGGAGGCCACTTTGATGCCGGCACCCATCCCGACTACCAGCACCCTGGTGGAGCCCACCACATCCTACGCTGCTGTGGTGGCCGGTGCCACTCCGAAGGCCACCAGCGAGACCAAAGATTGCCAGCAGGGGCAGAATGAGGCTGCGCCATCAGATGCTAGGGAAGTAATTGCCCCGCGAGAGCCGGAAATACTTAAAATGGCACCACCGCCTGCCACAGCTCCTGCACCCGAACCGGATCCCACGGAGCACCTGACGCCTCACCTGGTGGACACCAGCGAGGTGGCAGGCCAAATTCTGCAGGTAAGTAGTATTTATATATATATATATATTCAGTATTTATTTATTTTACTTATTTAAAACCCCGTTTTCCAGATCTCTAGTGGCTTGTTCCACTTTTGCCTGATCTCGTCCAGCTGCACACTCTACACGTGGGGCAAGAACCTGGAACACCAACTGGGCACCGAGGACAAGGATCGCCGGGCGGTGCTCAAGCCCTCGCCCATCGACAGCATCGAGCGTCCGATGTACGTGGACTGCGGCGCGGACTTCACGCTGGTCATGACCACCGATCACATTGTGCGAGCCTTTGGCGGCAACTCGAACGGTCAGTGCGGCCGGGACTTGGGAGCCAGTCTAGAGAGGATGCGGCAGAGGGTGGTGTGCCTGCCAACGACTAAGCGATTGATGCGATTCGAGAGCCAGTGTGTGGAAGCGCCGGTGGAGATCAATCTGCCGAGGCCACGAATCCGATTGGATCACGATCCGGTCAGGTATCTCAAGGTCATGCCACCATATCAGCCTCACTTCTTGCAGCCGGCGAACATAAGCTTTGATCAGCGCTACTCGGTGGGCACTCCGAACTACAAAAGCAGCACGGAGCACGCGGCCACTGGCCAGGACTCGGACGATATGCTGAGTAGCCTAGAGAACCTCAGTCAGAACGATGCCAGCTTCTCCTACAATGCTCCGGTGCTGGGCGAGGCCCACAGTTCGCTGGATATGGACTACACGCCCGAGGAGCAGAGCTATGTTCCGCTGCCGGACCAGGTCGTGGGTTCTGGGATGCCCGCAAATGCAGAGCAGTTGCTGGGCAGAGATGGCGACGACGATAGCACCTACACGCAGAGCACCGAGGGCTTGGAGGACTCTTCGCTGCAGCAGCTGCGCCACTACATACACTACTGTCTGTACGCCTTTCACGGGTTGTATAATCCCGACAAGATTGGCGAGTGCGCCCGTCCAAACCGCAACGAGTACCGCATACGCATCTGCATGCTCAACTTTCGATTCGTGGAGGCCTTTCGGCTGTGCCTGCACAGCTGCGATTCCGCCCAGCGCACCCTCAAGTTGTTTGAGTACTTCAGCAAGGACACGGGCTATGTGCCGCTGAGGAGGTCCGACCTGAAGCACCTCATCTATCACCTCTGTCTGCACTTTCTGGAGCGCAAGTTCGATATGCTCGAGTGCGAGCGGTTCTTCATGGGCGATTTGGATTACTATCTGCTGGAGCTGGCCTACGTCTTCTACTTCAACAACAACAACTCGACGCTGGAGCAGAATCTCAACCAGAAGTTCAAGCAGCTTATTGCCGCGGCGGACAGTAATCAGGCGGCCACTTCCGCGGGACAAGAGCACCAGCAGCAGCAGCAGCAGCTGCAGGACACCGATGTCATATTCGATAGCTTTACGGTCAAGTTCAAGACGATCCTGTGCCAGCGCCTGCTGAGCTACTCGGACTGCGATGCTGCCAATTAGCAGTGGCTGGGCCCTGGAGTCCCGTTTCCGGTTCAGATCCTGAACCCAGTCAGCTTTCGTTCGGCACGCATCAGTTGAGGGCCCGTCGTCTTTGTCGTCTGTCTTGTTTGATATGTTTCGTTATAAATATTCGGTCCAAGAACCGGGGACTGCCCTTAAAATACACACACACACCCCCCCAAAACCCGAACCCACTTCTTCCCTTACATGTTTACGCGTAATTATATATATACCATAATTGTTGTTTGCGGTTATTTATACATCAAATGCTTTTTACAGCGCTGTTATTTAAACGAAATATTTAAGACAAACAAATTGTTTAAAGAATCCAATTTTTGTAACGCTTTGTTTGCCATTGGCCACGCCCGCTTTTATTTGTTTACTCAATAAACTAAAAAAAGAAATCTGAAACCGAAAGAAAGTAATCCAAAACTGCTCATCGAACAGATCAAAAGGAGGCTGCAGGATATACACACACTTATAACATACAAATTTTTTGTTTTTTATTCGATATTCAGCTTGTGATTTGCAATTATTTAATAAAACCAGAGTAGAATTAATATAATTATATACACATATATATGATTAACAATAATAAAATACGTTTATACAAATAAAAGAGATGATCCTAGAGTTTGAGCTTGATGTTGTCCGTGGTCCACCGCTTGCTCTGCAGGCTTTTCAGAGCGTTCTCGCAGTAGAACTGCTCCTCGGATCGCTCGGGCAGGGTGTCCTTGAGTTGCTGCAGCTCCTGGTGCTGCTTCAACCCGGCCATGGCATCGATGACCGCCTTGATGCACTTCACCCGCTGTGCCAGCGCTAGTTTCTCCCCACTGTTGCCCATCTTGGAGAGGAATAGCTGCAGAACGGTAGACGGAGCCTGCAGCTCGTAAAGGCGAAGAACGGCCAGAGTCAGGTCGAAGCTGATGTGGAACTGCTTTGTCTTTAGCGGATGCCAGCTTGGCACACGCTCAAATATGCACTCCAGATCCGCATAGGCCTGTGCCTGTGCCCGTTCATTTAGAGCAGTCCATTCGTATTGTGCCGGGGATATTTGCTGATCGGCTGCAAATCGCTGGGGGGACACGGGTTTCAGCATATCCTGCTCCTTCCAGTTGCTGTTAGCCTGGCAGCAGGCATAGAGCACTTCAATGGGCGTGGGCTGATCGCGGAGCATCTTGCTCAGTCCGTTTTCCTTCTCCATTATCTGCTGCATCTTGAGGGCAGCATGGAAAACCTGCTCGTAGAGAGGTATCACACCCACTCCCGCAGTGGCGTAGGCATCTACCAGGAGCTGGAGATGTTTTTTTCTTGTGCTCACATCTCCTGCAGCCAGAGCGGCCTGGAACTGCTTAAGAGCCGCCTCCTGGTGGCGTCCAAAACGCTGCAGTAGCTCGATGTGACTGGCCAGGTCACCGCTTTCCTTCAGATAACTTAGGTACTGCTCCAAGGCCTTGGGACGCTCCCTGAGAATGCCATGAAATTGCGCCGTATTAAGGGTTCTTTTGAGGAACAGCAGCACAGTGATGACGGCATGGCCACCACCTTGGGCCATCAGGGTATCCAGCAGCTGCTGCTTCTCATGCAGGGACTTGAACATCTCCAACGGAGCAGTCTTACCCTGCAGCAACTTCTGCGCGGTGGCCTCCAGATTGGGACTGTAAAGAGTGCTCTGGAGTTGGCGGCGCAGCAGCTTTAGCTCCTCCTCCGGCGAGACGCCCTTGGGCAGGACTCGGTCGTCCAGTGCCTGCTCCTGAAGCACCAGTTTCAGAGCCTCCTCGCTCAGAATGGACTTGATCGAGAGATTCAGGGTGGCACTGTTGTTGAAACTGGCCTCCGAAATGGTGTCGTCGGCGAGGATCCCATTGCTGGCCAGTTCCGGGGCGAGGTCCACCTCATCCTCGTCGTCGAAGCTGAACGCCGCTCGGGAGGATCGGTTCCAATAGTCGTCGAATTGCAAATCCATTGTTAATGTTATTCTTTTTTGTTTTGCGCAACTTTTTTTGTTTCGGCCAGTGTGGCCGCAACTGAAACCAAATTACATACCTTTCACTTATTTTATTTCTTAAAACATGGTCGCACTACTTTTTATTTATTTATTTATTTATATAAAGCTAGCTTAGAGTTAAAACTATAGGCTAACTAAATTTAAGAGCTCTAGCAGCTAAGGCCTTCAGCTCATCTAAGGTGTGGGATTAACAGCATTTTTATATACATTTAAATTTTAAGCTTAATTTGGGCATTTTAAAAAGGTTTTACGGTTGAACAAAAATATTTCTGACTCTTAATAAAATAAATAAAAGCTAAGTTCGCCCCGCGTACATATTTATGAACTTTACTTAGATAGTATCGTCTTCAAAATAATGCAGTTTAAACATGACTTTCTCGCTTTTACTCACAAGAGTTTTACTCATTTTTACTCCCACTTAGAAAAAGTATCAGTTGATCCTAATGGTTTTTCTTTTCGGTTCGTCGTTAGGAACTTTAAGAGCTCCTTTCAAAATTTCCAAAAAGGAATGGGAACAAATTTAATTATAAGAAAATCCAGTTAAAGCTTCTTTGGAAGCACATAAGGAATTTGTTCATTTTCTCTTCTTTATTAATAAACTTTTGGCATTTTTATGGACCTTTAAGCTTTTTTGGCGGTAAAATCTCCAAAGCATAAATTCACTTTAAAGGTGAAAGCATTTTCTTGGCACATATTTTTATGGCCTTTTGATGTTTGCTAACCGTGAGGTAGCGATAACGGATTTACACAAACAATATAACTAGAATAAAGTTTCAGTTTAGTTTATTTAAGACCTTGCTTAGCCAGGGATACAATGCATCGAGGCGTGAATAGACGCCTGGCTTATCGGCCAAGGCGCACCCAACTCCCCAGGACACAATGCCCACCAGTTCCTCCCTCACTGACAAGGGTCCTCCTGAGTCCATCTGGCAGGCATCCGTACCCCCACGAAGGTATCCTGCACAGAGCATCCGATCAGTTACACTTTTTCCCAGTAAGTTTCTGCACGCTGTCTGGTTAACAATTGGAACTCTAGCATATCTTAAACTATCTGATGGAGGACCATTCATGGATTTGAATCCCCAACCGGCTATGGTAGCATATGTTCCATCGGCTATTCTTTTGGGGCTAACGGGGATGGCCCTTACCTGAAAAGTAAAATTTTAAATTAGCATTTACCATCTGCAACTCTAAAGTACATCCAACCTTATTGGACAACGTTAGATTTTTGGTTAGCCGGATTATTCCAATATCATAATCCATAGTCTTGGCATTGAACTTGTCATGTATCTGCAGACCGGACACTGAGAATAATTCTCCATCTTGGCGATATCTTGATGTTCCACCAACTTTAACTTTCAGCAGACGATACGAAACTCCGTTCAAGCAATGGGCGGCAGTTAAAATGGTATGTTTATTTATGATGGAGCCACCACAATGGTGTATGCCGAATAATTGTATGGATACTATATACGGAATGTTGGCAATATCAGCTGGAAACCCGCCAACTATGCGTGGATCTGGTCGACTCTCGAGGCAAAGACACCAAGAAATATTAAAGAAAAGTAATATCCACTTGTAGATCATTTTCTCACTTAACCGAAGAAAGAATCGTAATAAAGTAGGAATGTGCGGCTTTTAGAACAGACTTTAAGTACAGAAGAACGTGAAAAATAATGAGAAAAAGCATTTCAATAAGTGCCCATTATTTTGTAATTAGGAAGAAGTTTCGCTTATCTCATAACTGTCTACACAACACAAGAAGATTTCAAGTCGCCGACACAATCTAACTAAACGTTCGTGCTGTAAGTTATTAAGAATCGGACTAATTAAAGTTCATAATAGGAAAGAATGGTATCAACTTTCATAATTTCATATATTCAATACTGAATGTAATAACCATAACCAGAGAATGGATTTGTAAGAAAGGGTAAACGGTCCCCGAAGTCTGGAATCCGCTATGAGTCATTTAGGAGGCAGTAAAACAGGGCTTTCTTCGGTCTACTTCGCCTTTATTTTGACACATATGCGGCTATATCATCTGTATACAGAACTAATGGCCAAATTCGGCCTCCGCGCATTTATTGTTTGCCCAATTTGTTATCAAAGCACGACCCGTTTTCTTGAAGAACGGACTCGAAAATCTGATTTGCATTGGCTTGACCCATAAATTTGGAAATCAAACACCGTTTGATGGGCCATTCTAGTTTTACATATCCAAATGCTGAAAGCGCTGGCTGTTTGTCTTTCCATCCGAACCGACCGTCTTTGCTTTGCCAATAAAGTGGGCTATTCGAGATCGGCAGATAGCATTGATCTCTGGCCGTAGGATGGGAGCTGGAGCTGGCTGAAATTGAGTAAAAGTAAACACCGAAACTTAAACCCACACAAAATGCTATGGTAGATTTAATTTAAGCCGATTATGCGTGTGTGCAGCTAGAATGAGAGAAAATGGGTAGCAAACGATTTCACGTGAAATGTACCTTATTAGTGAAAGTGAAAAATAATAAAAACGCAAGCGACAGTTATAAGCCAAAACCCATTATCACGCCCAGGTTTTACGGGTGGGACTCGGAAGAGAGCCCCGGGCGCTAACAGGCCCATAAGAAAATTATTAGAGGAAGGGAAAACCAGTTGATTATACATGTTAATAACAGGTAAAGAGAGTCAGGTGAGAAACAGGTGAACATTGTTCTCGATCGTTGACCGCAATTACTAGTTGCATCCCGAACACGTTCGAGTTCGGAGTGTAGAGATCGTATCGTACAGGTGATACGGAGTGTATTTACCATGCTAACAATTTCTTCTTGTTTGAGGTTCTCTCGGCTTTGAGCATCATCCATTTCCACAGCCACAGACACACCGTACCACACCGAACCATAGCCTCGAGACTTTCTTTTGTAAGAATTCCGAAGACCAACTGCGTCCCGCTCTCTTACAGGTTGATTTTCTCCAAGAAAGACAACAAACCAGCCAGAGAACTTCTTTATCTAATTTTTATAACAAGTCACTCGGCGGCATTGAAGACTTCAGTTCTGCGTCGACCATCGAATGGTCAAGTTCGGCGTTCCTTTGTCCCAAGTGCGAAATAAGTTTTAAGCTGCGAAAGTGTTTTGTTCCAGTGTGACTAAGCTGAAATTCCGACTTCGGGATAGACTTTAAAAATAACTTGTTAATTAGGTAATTGTTTGGAGAAGTAATATTCGAAAAATGCCAGGGGATAGTTGGGATAAGAAGAAGTGCCTTATATCATTGGCCTTCTATGGGAAAAGAACTTAGTTTTTTGTTCCTCAAATCGAACCGCTATACAGAATATGCACCAGCTCTTGCACCGGACTAAAGAATAACTAAGAAAAATCGGAAAAAAATGTTAACCGGTTTATTTAAACGGCAGTGATCAGGCTGACGGATGACTATGCCAGCATTGAAAAAACGGAGACAATCATTTCGAATAAGTGAACTGAAAGACCGAGGAAAGAGGCTGCTGTTGTGGTGCAAAAAGCAAAAACGCACGAAACAAGAGGAAACTGTGTAAAATGCAAAAGACTGCAGTCTTTGGACTCCCCACTCCCGACTCCAGACCCATGTTATGAGTATTATGTTCTTACAAGATCCCCAGTCTGTAGTCTGCAGCTTCCGTCAAAACATTAGCGAACATTAGGACGTCCGTTTTGAAATGGCTTGCAAACTGACTTGACGGATGGTATGACGTGACTTGGTCCGGTCCGGTCTTCTTACAGCCCATAATGGAGCGAATGTTTCTTAAAATATGCAAGCCTAATGGGCAGAAATTACAAAAACCATAGGAACCTAAATGCTGCACAATTAACACAGTGGTTCGTTAGCCCCGTGATTATCCCACATTCGAGAATTTCGCCAAATGGGAAATTAATTTAACAGTGTGATATTTGCCGTTAAATTTTGCCAGCATTTTAGTCACTGAAGAAATGAAGTCATTAACACATTCAGAATGGAGAAAGTTTTTTTCGGCGGTTCCTCTTGAAGAACGGATTTCTATTGACTCTTTTGGCGCTGTCTGGTAGATCTTTTAATTACATCATGCATCAAGAAATAGGCTGAATGTGAATGGTATTGAAGTCGGTCAGAATAGGTGTAGTCGCTTTTGGCAATAAAAAATGAGCTATCAAGTCGAAGAAGTAAGGTCTGTAAAATAAAAGAAAAAGTTCGAAAGTGCTAAACAGTTAACAAGTGCTGATTGGCCGAAACAGTGATCATTGTGATGTGCCTGTTTGATTGATTGATCGGTTTTGTGCATATGTTAGAGGGTTTTGATTGAACGCTGCATTAAAGAAGTATTTTTCTAGTGACATCACTATTGTATTTCTTAATTTAGTACAAATTCTGATGTTTTTTAAATATTTCCCCCTACTTGCGTCTATAATTTATATTATCGAATATATTATTCAAAAGAAGATATTCTTAACTATATAACTTTTGTTCCACATTCGACACAACGCTTTTATTTTTCATAAAAAAAATCAGATGAAGGAGTACTATCCTTTAAAGCATCTTTTAATCGCTTTGCATTCCCCACACCCCAAATACGTACATACTTCTGATACGAAAACGTTTAGGGGGAACACTCAACCCGAAATTCTTGGCCCCCAGAAACGACCATCATTTAACAGTAATTTAGGCAATAAATGACTGTTCGCACTAATCGATTGTGATCAGCGACACAGTTAGGCGGTGCTATTTCCTTCGGGTGTTCATGTCCATACCGGTTGGCCATGGGTATGGGTATTTGGTGTGGGTATGGGTTTGGGTTCGACCTGATCGCTGCGGGCGCAGCAACCCATACATATGTCTATGCTCGGCAAAACAACTTTTTGACGATAATCATTGACCCAATTCTTCTGCCGCTTTCTACAAGATTTTTGTACAATAACATGGTCATGGACTCGTTATAATGCAGCTTCCTGAGTGGCCATTCTTTACATGGCACTGCCGTATGATCATGTGCACCAGACCCAGACCCCATACATAGGTTTTCAAGCCAGAATCAAAGGCGAAGAGGAAAACATTCAAAAGTCTTTCAAGCATTTTATCTCTAATTAAGTTACGGCTCGTTTTGACCGGTGCAGGGTTTATGAATCATTCGTATACGAATTAACGGTTCGTGTGGTTGTATACCATCATCTTATAATAGAAGAGATCGGTTTTTGGGTGGAACCGACCCGTCGCCACAGCGGATTAGTGTGTCTGGTGCGTCTGCAGTCGAGCGTTTCCTATACACACCAAATACCACCTATCCGTATCTATTTCACACTACAATTTTTCTGCACACATGGGTATTCATGAGAATTCTTATGGAATAACGGCGAAGCCACAAAGTCCGACAAGTCCAAAATGATTATGGATATATATATGTAATTTTATAATACAGTTATCATGTTAATAAGTCATGCTTCAAGTGGGTTCCTAACGAGCTATCCGCCAATAGCAATTACTTTACCTAAAAACCAAATGTGTTCCCTTCGTAATAATATTCTTTTCTATAATTGAATTGTTGTCCCGGTATCAAGTATTTGTATTAATAATTTTCGAGATTGTGCAATCCCTTTTGGGTTCCTAAAGGTTCTGGGCAGAAAAGCACTGCCTACGCCGAAACAAGTTCTACATGGTACCTGATACTTGGCGAAAAATTAGAGCTCATGACCCCTTGATGGTCTCTCCAGCGCAACCGTCAATCATAAGCGATGCCCATTAACTTGGGACTTGGCAGTTGCGCAAGAGTTTAGCTCAGCGAACCAGAAAGAATCCAAGTGAATAGTGCACGGGGTCATCGACGTGAGCTCAGTTTCCTTAACGGAGTTACTGGCTGTGATATTGTTTCTTCCCTCGGAGACTGCGACTTGTAATAATTCGCGTTACGCCTTATGGCAAACAAATTAATTTAGAAAGATTGAGACAGTACCTGCGTAGGCAATTTACCGCGCTCTATAACTATAGGTTGCCAATTTTAGTTATTCAGTAGGAAAACTTAAGGGTTATGTAATTTTAGAATTACCAATGTGCATAGGAAGTGCTAGAACCTTTTTCTTATAAAGACATCCCTTATTTTGCAGGCCCCAGTGATACTTAAAAGATGGCCAAGATAAACCTTATACGACACCTTATCCTAGCCCTTATGCTATATAGTGTGGCCACGGCCAAGGAACATCTGCGTATCCGAAGACAAGCCGCGGAATCGGTGACTGCAGCACTACCAAATGCTAGTAAAATAATTGCCTCGGAAGAGATTGAGGCCCAAACGGAAAGCCCCAGCTTGAAAGAGAACCCCACGGAAATCAATAAGACTGAGAAACCCATCGAAACGGTGGAGACCCGAAACTCAGCCTTCGATTTGCCCGCCGCCTCTGATTCATCCAGCTCCTTGGGTTCCGAGGAAGATAGTAACTACTATGATAACGCCCCTATCGATTGCAATCCCGATCTTGTGGGCTTTGAAATAGTGACAGGGTAAGTAATGATAACTTACCAACCGGGTGGTAATTATCTAATAAGTCCTTCGTTAGCTATGTCTTCTCGGCTCCCGAGAAACTTATGGACTCCCAGCCGGGCACTCTAATGCTCACTGATTGCCTAGACACCTGTAGGAAGAACAAAACTTG